AGTACATACTCCACTATGCTAAACACACACACACATACACAAATAAGGACACCTATAAAGGTATGAAGATATAACGAACAACTGTTGTACTACGGTTAACGGTACATATGAACGAATAGCAGGAGTATGTTTTAGTTTATAACATAGTTGACGTTGTATTTTACTCCATGTATATGTACATACGTACATTCATATATATGTAAGTAAGTAGTACACATGGGTACTACTGGTTGGTGTGGTTGTAGTAGTGATGATGTTGATAATAAATGGTATCCGAGGTTAGTTATTTTTCGGTTACAGCAAAAAAAAATATATATATATGTTTTTTCTTGTTTTCTTTTTAATAACACATACACACACACACACACTTTCAAATATACATATTTTCAAAACGAACAAAAAAATCTTTCAACAGCAACAACATGTGTAAATAGTTATTTAATACACACACATTCGTACATTATGCACAGGTGCCAGTGAGTGAAGAACAAAAAAAAAACTAAAGAGAGTTTGAGACATCCAAATTGGGGGTGTTGTACTGTACTGTATGTGTGTGAGTGAGAGTGTGTTTGTGGCTGGGTTGTAAAGAGAACCACTTTTGTGGTGTTTGAGTATGTATGTTGGTGTAAAAAAAGCACAACACTCTCATACATACAAGTCGCGTGAACACTTTTAATCATCTACTGGGCCTATGGAATTGTACTTCTAGTTTCTTTGTTCTTTCTTCTTCTTTATGTTGTGATTTTTTTTTTCATTATCCTTTGTAGAAACAACAACATCAAAAACATTCCATGCTCACTATTCTATTGATGATACATACATAAGTAGAAATAAATATTTTGTTTGTCAGGGTTGGAAATGTTGTTGCGGTTGTAGTATAATTATAATTTTGAAAAAGTAGTAATAGAACCTATTTACTGACGATGTTACAATCGACTCAAAAACACTGTGTGATTCGACCTAACGATGGCTGTCTGTCCATCAACTTCAACGGATGATAACTACAACAGACTCTTTATAACAATTCAAAATGTATTTTCATTGGAAATATGTGAAAAATTGGAAAAATAAAAGCGAAATGTACGAAAAAATACATTTATTGTTGTATCAAACTTTAGGCGAAGAGATGTCAGATGTTAAGCCTGATGATGTTAATCTTTCAAAAGAAAAATTAAAATTGCCGCCTATACCGAACACCGGTTCTTGAACAGGACGATAATAGTTACCGATATGGTTAAATACCTAGGCGTAATACTTGAAAGGAATCTTAAATGGAAATAACACATAGAGAAGCAAATTAACAATGCACATCGATCTTAGTAGCGATGTAGAAAACTATAGGTCCGAAATGGAGTCTTAGCACAACTATGACACACAATTATAACTCACGATTCAATCTTTTAAACTTCTTTGGAGAAAAAGTGTAACATGATATCACGGGAATTCGTCGTACATGATGAATAGGAAGAAGTGGGAAAAACATGAGGCGAACAACTCCTATCTCTAGGCGAATTTAGCGAAAGCGGATGTAAGTAGAACACGTTATCCGTGTATATTAAACACATTGGACGGCTATACTCAAATATCAGACGTGTGCGATCAAATGCCAGATAGAGATATTAAAGGAAACCTCGGTCAAGTGAAACATTGGAATCTACTGCTAAGCGGATGGTTACCACCTTGGAGATGGATGTAAACATTATTTCCCGATAGCCAAAAGGCAATAAGGCATGTTATAACTCAATAAGTTTAAAACTGTATTGTACTGTTAGAAAGTTTTAACCAAATTTTCTTTCAGTGCTAATCTCTGTATCATATGGACACTAAGTTACTCAGGTACTATCGGTAACGAAGTAGTAGATACAAAAATCTTGTGGGCTCTTCCAAATGAAAGGAGAACTAGAAGTTTCCTCAGTGGAAGCAAATCCAGGGTTAGTTTGATAGTAAGTATCTTGATTTAACATACAGTACCGCGGGTTCAACTACACTAATAGAACTAGAAAGGAGAACTAGAAGTCTTCTCAGTGGAATCAAGTCCGAGGTTAGTTTGATATTAAGTATCCTGAACTAGAAACGAGAACTAGAAGTCTTAGTTTGATAGTAAATATACTGATTGGACACAGGGGACCTCGAGTACAACTACACTAATAGGACCGTTGGAATCTGACATGTGAATAGCATGTTGTGAGGATGCAGAAACATTCAAACACTTTCTCTGCCATTACTGAGACTTCGTCGAAATCAGTTCCAAACACTTTGGGATAGTGGCTGAACTGACAGAATTTTGCCTTTAATTTCCAAAAGAAGTGGCGGTTTCTCGATACTCAAATTAAAATTCGAAATTATCAAAACATTATATATATAACTAGAGGAGTAGTTGGGGGAAAGAGAATAGAGGAAACAGGAAGCAGTGTTTGACGAATGAAGATTGTTGTGAGTATTAGGCATAAGTTTCCTAATTTCAAAGCAACACATTCCGTTGTAATATCGATAGAAACGTCAAAAACAACAATCAATAGATTTGGAAACCCGGTCAATGTCACCGATAAGTACCTTCTCCGATCATATGATTTTCAAAGGGAAAGATTGGTTTTTGAAAGAAGGAACTTTATTTGATAATGAAATGAACATTTTTGGAGAGATTTAGGTCCACAAAGACTTGTTTAATGAAAATTTTATTGTGATACTAAAATTTATAAGTTAATATTTGTAGGGGTCCTGATTTGGAGTCAAATGGGTGAAAGACAAATGGATGGACATGATTTAATCCACTCCACTCGTCAGATGTAGTATTGTATAGTATTAAATCCAGCCTTTGGCAAACCTTAGGTCAAATGTGGAAAGACAGATGGATGGACATGATTTAATTCACTCCACTCGTCAGATGTAGTACTGTATAGTATTAGATTCAGCCTGTGGCAAATCTTAGGATATCAATAAGCTTAGATCCAGATATCTCACCAAGGTTAGATATGAAATAACTGCCAAGAGATCTGTCTCTTTAAGGATAGAGCAGGGCATTCACAGAGCAGATAGAACGGTTAGCCCAACCCGACTAGCATGTCTGCCTAGCACCCAGTGTCCTGTTATTACTGCTATCAATCTCGATATATCCCGTCTAGTTCGGTTTATGAGGAGTCTTGTGCGTTTCTCATTGAAGAAGGGCCACACTATCTTGGCCCCTTTACATGTGTCTAGGTTATTCCACCTATTTCTAGCCTTTTGAAGTTAGATATCTGAGGATACTACTCTTGATAAAATCTAACGGGGTTGCTATTGGAGCGGCGTTAGAGATATCAAGAGCAGATCCCGTTCTGACAAGCTCATCTGCTTGTTCATTTCCATAATAGTCCCTATGCGCATAGACCCAAACAAGGCTAATGTCAGACAGGTGACCCAGTCTTAATAGATATTTTTTGTATTGTCTAACTAATAGAAAAGTGGTAGTATAAGAATTTAGTACAAGAATTTAGTGAGAGAAGTGCCGCTTGACTGTGGACAAAAATTCCTATGTTGCTGCGAATATTGAGGTCATGTAGTACCCTAGCAACTTTTTGACTAGCAAAGAACATTCGGTTGGACATTTTTGGTACATGACTAACGCAATTCCTAGTTTAAGTACTTGTGCTATCATATACATATCTGTATCATACTAGCCCCTGTATAAATTGACAGGTAATCTTCAGACTAAATGTTCAGTCCACAACCACACTACAGAGGCTGCTGATTTGACAACATCGCGCAGCCACGTTGCGGATACGTGTATAATACAATATAATACAAGTCCTTAGACAACTGAATCCCGTGGTAACATCCCGGATCTACACATGTATTACCACGGCAGTCGGTTGCTTCAGAACAGACCACAAGTTAATTGACTCCTCGAGTAGCATCTTTATTCCCCAAGTTGGCAATAACACCAAGGTAAGAACAGATTGCCAAGACAACATGTCCTATAGAGATGTAAGATATAAACAGAAAATTTCGATTAACCAGAAAACTGAAGAAAATAGTAACCTATCTGGCAAATAAATCAATTTTAACAACCACATACATTTTCTTAGGACTTTACAGATTAAAGTCGAGAATACATAATTGACTCGGAAAATAATATCGAATTGATTAAATAATTTTTTTCATATTAAAAGCACCACAACAAAGGCACACTTCCCAATAACCTATAAAGGTCCTAAAGATAACCTAAGCCAATCCTAGTTACCAAACTTTAAACCTGAATATCCAACTTCCAAAAAAAATATACTTAAAAAACATAAATGTACATTTGTGTGTGTCTGTGTAGCATGAGGTTACTTAGTCAGTTGTGTATTTGTTGATGTTATTTGTTGGTTTGTTGACTTGGCTTTTTAGTCGAGTTGAATTTTTAATATGTAGTCGTCTATCAGCTTATCTGTGGAAGCATAATCAAAACTCTCCTAGGGTTGCTTATTATTTTCATTTTATTTTCTATTTCATTGTAACAAGCCATTTAGGAATAGAACAACAAAAATTTCCTTTTTTTTTTTTTTGCTCTTTTGTATTTGAAAATGATGTTGGTGGATGTAATTTGAATGTTCAATTTAAAGTTTTAAATGTGTTTGATGATTGTTTTTTTTTTTTTTTTTTGGTTCATTGTTCTACCCCCTTAAAAGGATAACAACGTTTATTTTAAAGTCAGGCCATTGAGCTGGTAGAATTGATGAGGATGTTGTTGGAAGCCACTTAGGTTTAATGGACATGTTCATGATGAAAGACAATGGGATACATTTGGCATGGCATGGATTTGTGTAAATAGTCTAGCCAAAGCAATGGTGCTGCAATGCGGAAGAGTCCAAGTCAAAGTATTGGTGAAGGTTAAAAATTTTTGCAAAAAACTATAATACACCAACAGATACACGCAGTAAAACACACACACAAAAAAAGGCACGCACGCACGCAGACACCAAAAAACAACACCACAAGACGAACAAGAACAAGCAGCCGAAAAAGAAGATTACACTCACACATAGACACACAAAATAGCAGAAGAACAAGATGTAAAAGAAGCAGCAGTAAAAAGTACAAATACAAGAAAATGGCGTAACTTTAAATCTCTTTAGTAATACAATTTTTATTTCCGTTCTTTTTTTCGTTTTCTTTCAATGATTTTTTCCTTTTTTTGCTCTTGGAAAATTGTCAGCCACAAATTTAAATTTTTAATTAAGATTTATTTTTATTTGTTGCAACTTAAAACACTTTTTAAATTTAAATTTATATTTCTTTAACAAAATTTTTTTCTTATTATAAAATTTATTACTTTTTTTCATTTACATTTTTGCTCTTAATCATCTAATACATTTTTGGTCGAAAAACAATTTTCAATGTCACCAAAAATTTTGTTTGGAAGAAAACCGCACGAATTTTTTAAATATTTTTCTTTCTTTTTTTCTGATTATAATTAATTTCTTTCTTTTTTCTATTTCACTTTAATGATTAATTTCTTTTGCACACAAATTATAGAATTTATAACAATTTTTTCTGTTTTTTTTTTCTTTTTGCCAAAAAAAAAAAAATCACAACCGCAAATATATTAGGCTAGCGCGTTTGAAGGAAAAACCGTTCTCGTTCAGTACCACGTTTGTTTTAGCAAAGGTTGACATTACCCAGCAACAGCCAATCCGGGACTGAAAGCTCATGGCTGCTGCCGCTTTGCGAAAAGCACCGTGTGTAGAAAATTTTCCTCCATGTTAAATGAGTAAAATCTGCTCCCAACACTCACATATACACACACCCGCATACTATGTTAGCCCCATGAAAATGAGAGTAAAGAAAATGAGCATCAGATTTAATAAGAGATTGCGCGTTGTTTTCACCAGGCATTTAGGCAATCTTCTTCTTTTCTGCTTTTGTTGTTGTATTTGCTGTTTACCGTTTAGAGAGATTGTTTGTTTGAGCGTATGTATCTAATGTGTGCAAAATTGTTGCTATTATTTTTCTAATTTTCTTGTTGGCTTTTCTTTTTGTTGTGTGTTAAAAACATCTTTTGTTTTTCTTTTTTGGTTTTCTCAAACACAAAAACAGCATATTTTATCTTTTCTTTTCCATTACACTTTTCTTTGGTTTTGTATAGGTGTTGTTGCTGCACGAGTGCCGACCGTGTCGTATTTGTATTGTGTTAATTGTGGTTTAGCCCACTGTTATTTTATTGTTTTGATGAATAAACTAGTAGTGATGTGTTCATGAGTGAGTATGTGTGTAAATGAAAGTGTTCTTGAGTATGTGATGTAAAACAATTATAGTTTAGTTTTCTTTTTCACGTGTATTTGTTGGCAAATTGTTGTTGTTGCATTATGCACTTAAGCGTTAATCAGTGTTAACAAGTTGTATACAATTGTATGTACTTTTGATGGTACAGGTAAAAGTAGGCTCAAGAAAAATGTACCCAACCCTGATATATAAAATAAGTAATCTTTCTTAGGTGATGTAGTCCAGTGGTACATCATATCTAATCTGGTGTCCTTCGGAGATCCTAATTGATGTTATCCCCCAATTGCTTAGAGATGGAGCTTATATGTACATATGTTCCCAACAAAATCACGTTATGTCACACTAAAAAGTGTCAGAATGTTCATGAGCATAGTTAGTTAGTTAGTTAGTTAGTTAGTTAGTTAGTTAGTTAGTTAGTTAGTTAGTTAGTTAGTTAGTTAGTTAGTTAGTTAGTTAGTTAGTTAGTTAGTTAGTTAGTTAGTTAGTTAGTTAGTTAGTTAGTTAGTTAGTTAGTTAGTTAGTTAGTTAGTTAGTTAGTTAGTTAGTTAGTTAGTTAGTTAGTTAGTTAGTTAGTTAGTTAGTTAGTTAGTTAGTTAGTTAGTTAGTTAGTTAGTTAGTAGTTAGTTAGTTAGTTAGTTAGTTAGTTAGTTAGTTAGTTAGTTAGTTAGTTAGTTAGTTAGTTAGTTAGTTAGTTAGTTAGTTAGTTAGTTAGTTAGTTAGTTAGTTAGTTAGTTAGTTAGTTAGTTAGTTAGTTAGTTAGTTAGTTAGTTAGTTAGTTAGTTAGTTAGTTAGTTAGTTAGTTAGTTAGTTAGTTAGTTAGTTAGTTAGTTAGTTAGTTAGTTAGTTAGTTAGTTAGTTAGTTAGTTAGTTAGTTAGTTAGTTAGTTAGTTAGTTAGTTAGTTAGTTAGTTAGTTAGTTAGTTAGTTAGTTAGTTAGTTAGTTAGTTAGTTAGTTAGTTAGTTAGTTAGTTAGTTAGTTAGTTAGTTAGTTAGTTAGTTAGTTAGTTAGTTAGTTAGTTAGTTAGTTAGTTAGTTAGTTAGTTAGTTAGTTAGTTAGTTAGTTAGTTAGTTAGTTAGTTAGTTAGTTAGTTAGTTAGTTAGTTAGTTAGTTAGTTAGTTAGTTAGTTAGTAGTTAGTTAGTTAGTTAGTAGTTAGTTAGTTAGTTAGTTAGTTAGTTAGTTAGTTAGTTAGTTAGTTAGTTAGTTAGTTAGTTAGTTAGTTAGTTAGTTAGTTAGTTAGTTAGTTAGTTAGTTAGTTAGTTAGTTAGTTAGTTAGTTAGTTAGTTAGTTAGTTAGTTAGTTAGTTAGTTAGTTAGTTAGTTAGTTAGCCACAGCCACACTTCAAATTTCCATTTGACCACTATTGGAAGGTAAAGATTAAAAATCTCCCTCAGACGTTAAAATGTATTGATTGCTGTATTTTATTAATAAAAAATAAAAATAAATTTTATATATTTTTTTATAATATACACTATAGTGGGGACGATATTATGCGTTTGTTCTGATGTTTGTAACGCATAAAGATATTACACCCACCTTAAAGTATACCGATCGACTCAGGATCACTTTATGAGTCTATTAAGACATGTCCGTCCGTCTGTCCGGCTGGCTGTCCAGGCAAACCTTGTGCGCAAGCTTCAGGCCACAATTTTCAAGATATTTTGATAAAATTTGGACCATACGATGCCTATTGAAAATGTTTGAAATCGGTCCGTTATTTCACCTAGCCACCATACAATCTTACCTTCCGATTTAGGGTTTTTAACTCATAACTACTTCAAATATACTACTATCTCACCAAAAATTGGCACAACTAAGTTGTATATAGGCATAAATGACCGTACCAATATTTATAATGATCGGCCGACGTTTGACCCTAGCACCCATACAAGCCTCCCTTAAAAAATAACTTAAAACATCCAAAAATTCACTTATGACCATTAGTATCGCGATTAAATTCAGCATTACTAATCTTTATATACAATTACATCCCTCTTCCAAATTTGTTGAGGATCGGCCTATATTTGACCCTAACTCCCATATATAGCCTCTTTTAGAAATTTAGTTTTTATTCAATAAATTGCTTAAATACATCGCAATTAAGGTAAAATTCAACATAAAAGTTTCTTTATTTAAAATAAATAATTTTCAATATACATATACCCATGGTGTAGGGTATCATATAGTCCGCCATGTCCGACTATATTTTCTTACTTGTTTCGTTTTCAGTTCCTAAAATTGCAATGAAAAAGTGATGTTTAAAATATTTAATTTTTAAAAATATTTTTTGTTGGTAAAGTTTTTTTTTCTTGGAAGTGTTAGTTTTACAGGCAAAACTATGACAAGTTTCCAGATCGAAACTTATTCACCCCTATTGCTAATCAATATTTCACGTGAAATATGTTCCCTTTTCACTTTTTTCGTTCAACAATTTTTTTGTCGTGAAAAAAAATTCCCCTGTTGTGAAATTTGTCGACGGAATTTTGTAAACATTGAACAGCTGTTGCATACAAAATCAACTACTGTGAATGAATTGTTCATAACAAGTTCACGATAGCAATTTTCTTGCCTATTGTAAATATAGGAGACTTTGGTACTTTTATGTAACAAGTTCTATTGTTTTAACCTGGACCCAAGAAGTTGGTTCTTTGATTTTGAGATCATTTAAATCGCATTAAAAAAAGATGAAATTTATTTGAAACACTCGCGGTTTTAATGCAAAGGATCTACTGAGGAGGATCTATTGGATTGAGCTTCTGAATGAGAAAAGTTCAGAAAATGGAAAACTGAGAACGCAGTTTTACTATATATAACCTCTAGTATCATGTTTATATAGTCTCTTTAAGTCCATACTGGTTCTTAGAAGAGGCCGTCCAAAGCTAAATGAACTAAATCCCAAACATTCCAAAAAAGTACTAATATTTTTCCCCTTTTTGTACTTAATTAAAAGTTTGAAATTTTTGTATTTCCCATCCTAAATACTACACACAATTCTACACAAATCATTTGTTTTAAATTTTTTTATTATTTCGATGACATCCTTACAAACCAACTAACAAAGGAATTGAATGCTGTGTATTGTATGACAGAAACTTAACTTAAAAGAAAATAGGATTTTGGTTTGTTTTTTTTCATGAATAATATGAAGAGTGTTTTTTTTTATTGAAATCAAAATGGATTTTTCAAAATGCTCAATTAAATTTCACAAACCAATTAAAACAATGAATCAGCAAGTATTTGACTTTGAATTCAAATAAAGAATTTTGCTTTTATTTCAGCATTGATTAGGATGTATTAAAAAAATGCTGTATATTAAAGAGTCTAAATAGAAAAGTTCAATTGAAAGAGGAAAGAGGAGGTGGGAAACCATTGACAGCAGTTTCAATGTTAAACCATTTTGAAAATTTTGATTAATGTGAAGAATCAATTTCTTAAAATTTCTTAAATGATCTATAACTCTCTGAAATTAATTTCATAATTATATGTTTCTTTCAAAAAGTGTCTATAAAAGTCTCCATATTTGTGGCTCTTATTCAATGCTCAAAACGTTTATCAATCCGTTTATATTGCAATAAAATTCTAGAGGTTCTTGAGATTTGAAATAGGACATCATGACCTTTTGTCGATTTCGGTACTAGGTGATTTTTATATTCAGTTTTAGTAAATTCCATTGTTTTAGTCTGGACAATATTTTCACATGCAAACTGTCTACATCCATTAAATTATTATCTTCTTCAGTATCCTGATGACTGATTTCGGAAATCTGAACAAAAAAAAAATCGGTTCCGCGTGGTACAAGCAAATTTACGGTTGAATCATCATTTTTTCTTTGTTTTCCCATCACACAATTGTTTCCTGGGAAATACGAAAGTATTTAAACATACATTTAAACATCCTGAATCTTTAAAGTTAAAAGCATAATTTTGAATAGATATTTTTTACAGTTTCTCAGGCCTCAAAAACAATAAACTCGCCATAAAGGTTACAAGATTGTTTTTCATTTTCCTCTTTTATCATTTCATATTTATTTGTTTCAGTTTTGGTTATCTTCATATTTGTTGTTGATGTAAAAATGATAACGGATGGAGTTGAGGATATGGAATCTATAGTAAATATATTGTTTCCAATGCATTAGCCACACCATCTAACAAAACATCCGCACACCCACGAAACAGGATGAACATTTTAATATACATACATACGTATATAAAGTTCAGTCATGGGGATTTTGTTTTAATTCTACTTTTGATGGACATACACTACAAGCTACGGCTGCTTTGTATTACTATCTGAATTACCCATCACTGATTTAGTTAGTTTATCCCAGTGTGAGTGATTGTGTTCCTGCTTGTGTCTGTGTGAATCTGTTTTAAACTATTTCTATAGACTTTTGCCGTATATTTCTTCAT